ACTATTTTTAGCTTTGGGGGATGTAGAATAGCAGATCAATTGGAAGTGGTTTGGTATGGAAAATCTCAGGCCCTACCCAAGACCTACTAAAATATAATCTGTTTTTTTGCAAGACCTCCAAATGATTGACATGCACATTAAAGTCTTAAAAGCACTTGTAATTCTTCATCCCTGTTAAAGGAGTTTTCCTAGGCCTGAGAAAAGTTTTCAAATGACTATATGACAAATGACTATAATGACTGTTCATCGTTTCATCTTCTGCAACCAAAATTTTCTCAAATATTGGGCATCTAGATATTTCACTTGTCTATGTGATAAACTGTGTTAAAATCTTTTTTTTTTTAATTACCACAAATTCCCCAAAGAAGAGTTACTAGGACAGAAAGTGTAAATATTTTTAAGACTCTTGATACAAACTGATTTTCAGAAAGATTGTATCAATTTACATTCCTAGCAGTAGATTATGACTCTGAAAGCACTAAACTGGCCATAATGTTAGACAAACAGCAGCATTGCAATAGTTTACAATTCACTGTCAACAGGGTTAAATAGTCTTTTAGTACTACATTCCTAGTATTCTTGGGCATTGGATGCTCCACAATCTCCCTCTGACCATACTTCAAAACTTAACATATCCAAACTGAACTTAGCACGTGACATGTCTCAACAAAAAAACTTGCACTTCTTCCTTTATGGCTGATAGTGATGAATGGTACACCATACATCCACTCAAGTAATTAACAAGTCATTCTAAAATGTCTCTTCTCAGAGCCCACACAATAAGCCCAAGATCTTTTTGATTCTACTTCATAAAACTATCTGCAAATTATACTCCCCTCCAATGTTTTACCTCAGGCCCTTATTATGTCTTCCAAAAATTACTGAAAGGCTTGCTGCCTAAGGGTGCTGTCCCCAACCCCCTCCCACAATTAGATGAATTCTTCAAAATACTAGTGTCATCATTATCACTATTTAATCTCCATATTTCAGCATATGTAAAATGCAATGAATAAATGTTCAGTTAGGGTACCTAGGTGCCATTTTTGGTTTTCCATGGAGACTACTTATTTCCATGATAGCAAAGAAGTTGAGGTAAGTTATGGATTGGTCAGAAGAACCCACACACATACTTGCTGTCAATTCCTGCAACAGAAGTGATGTAACTACACAGAGCAGGATGAGAGGTAGCATATCCCTTAAACTTGGTTACTTAATGGTGTGCAAAGCTGTTTACAACACATCCACATTGACTCTCTTAAAATAATTGAGGTCTTATAAAAGTTAAGAAGAGTCCAATCTTTTCAATACTATTATAATTGGGGCTACCTTCAGTATTCTGGAAATGCTTATATTATGAGATATAGAGTGAAGAAATAAAATGGAGTCACTACAGTCAAGCTGCTAAATTACTAAAATCAAGTAGGTGGACGTACGAGGAAACGATTCTATTCTTGTTTTAATTAGCCTGGAAACTTAAATTTCTAAACTTTCCAGTTTTGTGACAATGCCTAGATATACATGAGACCTCCGGATCACCCTCTAATCATCCCCCTGAAGTAATCATGTATCCAGATCATCTGACATCCATCTAGACTGCCTAACTAACATCTGACTGATAACCATCGTGGACTAATCCTAAGACTAAAAATATAGGACTGATTATTCTCAAGAATGCACATTTTACTATAAGAGCTCTTAACTTTTTCTTCTTCAGAACACATCTGTGTTTTTGCCTAGTTATATTTCCAGTTTCCAAACCCCAAGACTCTAGAATAAATCTTTATCATTTATTTCGAGCCAAAACCTCCACGTTCTTTTTGAGTTTATTCAAAAACTATGTGCCTTAAGACAGGGGTGGGCGAACTATGGCCCCTTGCTACTTGCTCTATTTTTGTAAAAAGAGTTTTACTAGAACATAGCCATGCCCATTTGTTCACATATTGCCTATGGTTGCTTCTACACAATAGAGCTGAATAGTTGTAACAGAGACCACTTAGCCCCGAGAGTTTAAAATATTCATTGCTTGGTCCTTGAAAAAAAGTATGCCAACTATGCTTTAAGTCAGGAGCCACCTTTCCTTCACGGTATCTACCTCCAGCTCTTTTTGGAAGGCTGGTCTGGGCAGTAACCCCCAACTCTGATTTAGTCACCTATCATCAGGGTGGATCCGACGCTGACTCTGAACGAAAGGTCATTGACCCATTCCTTTGCACCTGTAGAACTACTCTTGAATTCCAAACAGGAAAGCATCTTTTCAGAAGGGAAGTCTGTCTCAATCCATTTAAAATATTTAATACAGAAGGTTAAAATGGTCTTAAGAGCATCATGGCTTACTAATGCAGGATAAAATTTTAGTGAGTAACTGTGGATTTCAAGCCAGACTATACCACAATTTGGTTGTGCAACCCCGGGCAAGTTACTCGTGTCTTTATATGCCTATCCCCTCACTTGTAAAAATGAGCTCTACATCTCAATTTTTAAAATCTCATCTAACCACTATTTCTAAAAGTAGGATGTTTCTGACAAAACCTTCGACTTTCAACTTCAGTATATTCTATGTGACTAGCTATCTTCATTCATAACAAGAGTGGTATTTTAAGGCTAACAACATTTTTTGCAATTCAGTACAATGCTATAATCATTTTTACTTTAGTCAGAATGTTATCTAAGCAAAATCTGTAGGAAGCACAAAATTGGAAGCCATTGGAAAGAAAAAACATTAATCAAAAGGTATTTCATGCCAATGACCTTTAATCTAAATCTCCTACATATTGACTAAAAGACATTTAGAGTAAAAGCAAACTCTAAAATTTGGAAGTACTTGTTAAAGGTCTAGAACAAAATTGTCTATCAGAATTTATTTCAATGATAGAAAGACTTACATCTGCACTGTCCAATACAGCAGACACTAGCCAGACGTGGCTATTGAATTGAGCACTTGAAATGTGGCTACTGAGACTAAAGAAATAAAATTTTAATTTTATTAAGCTTTAATTAATTCAAGCTTAAATTTAGCCAGATGTGATTAATGGCTAAGGTACTGGTCAGTGCAGGTCTAGAAGATCATAAAATGTTGGAATGTAACAATCCAGTGTTTTCTGTAACACAATGCTTTCTGTTCCCCTAATCCTTTAAGTGATATTTTTAAAAGTTTATTTTTAATTGTATTCTATTTTCAGTCAAGATATCTGAAGTGTTTCATCAAGAGAGTACATACAAATAAAGACTACTTTTTAAAAATGAAATTTTTCTCAATCCCACATTAAACTGGTAAAGTAGAGGGATGAGAGTATAGGACACTGGATCATAACCACTAGAAATTGTCACACTTGGGTCCTAGATCTAGGTCAAAGTCCCCCTGCCCGCACAATGAAAAGGTCCATCTAATACCTAATCATAAATACCAATTCAAAATTAGTCCTAATATTTTAGAAATCGGTACAAACATACATTTTAACTAATTAGGTCCAGAATATTCCCAAGACATTTCTCAATATTCTTTCTAGATTTTTCGATAGGAAAATGTCCCAGGCTTTTCTGCATCACTCTTAGCTATCTGTCAGCTGCTTCCCCTTCCTGTATGGTTCTTCCAGGCATAATACTTACATCAAATTCAATTCTCTGGCTGTCTGTCTTCCTCCCTCTGTTGATACCAAATCAAATCCCCACGCTACTAATACCCTTTAGGGCTCCATAAGTAATGCAGTCCACAGCTTCTATTCCTGTATTTAATTAATAAATTATTTCATCAAGGTCTCTAAACTTCAAAACTTCATGTCACAAATGTAATCCAATTCTAAGTAACTTTAAGCTTCTATTTAGCAAGTTACTAAATTCAGAACAGTAACAAACTAGTTACCAATTGGTCACAAATTGACAGTCTATTTGGGAATTACAAATGTATTTCTTTACTACTCCTTGTCTTACTTGTTAAAAAATAGAGCTTTAATAATATATGGCAGGCACTGATGACATAAAAATAAAGCTCAGTCCCTGTCCTTGAGGAGGTCACAGTCAAGCAATATAAAAAGTTTGCATAAAACACAGGGAACGGTTTTATTGATGTAGGAGGTCATGCCTGTGTGATTACAACTGCAGACTTAGAACATGTCCCTTGGTGGACTCATCTCTTACACGAATAAAAGTACTACCTTTACCTGAAAATCCAGTTGACTTAAGTCCCTTTGAGATCTTGGAATTACAATTTTTGACTAACCTATTTTAACACCTAGGAGAAAAGTAGAAGTTAGGAAGTTTTAAAGTCTTATCATCACCGTGTCCAGGCCACAGTGAGAATTCGATACATATTTGCAAAATATAAGATCACAAAGATGGCTCTTGTTGTGCCTTCACTCGAGTCCCTCCTTAATAATTAGAAAATGTTAGAACATCCAGACCACTTCCGATGTTAATGTCACTCACCAGTTAAAGACACTGAGCGGTATCATTCGCTCGCTCACCACAAATGTGCCGGTACGTTCACCGCACCAGGGGCAGGTGAGGTCGAAATCTTACGCGGCTCTCAAAAGAACTGGCAACCGTTTGGGAAAATGCGTCCTACCGCATCCCACGTGGAGGTGAACTTGGGCTCACCATGGATTGGAGGACATCAACAACACATACAAATAAATCATGCCCAGCAGTGGACGACTTACCACCACTACCTTCTGCCTGAAATTGTTACAGCACTTTTCCCGTCACCTCCATCAGCCTCAAAGACAAACCTTACACAAGGCTTGGAAGGCTAGAGAGCTAATCTGATCCTGAGATCAGAAGACACGAGGCTAAGCAGCAGACACGTGGGTGTGCAGGGCCGAGAGGGGCTATGGTGATGCGAGGTGACTCGGGGACCCCGAGGTCAGCTTAGGCGACCCGGTCCGGGAGCCCCGTAGGCGTGGCGGTCGCGGGGCGAGCGCGGGCGGCGCCACCGCTCTGGTGGGTCAGCTGCACCAGCGGACGCCCCCGACGGGTTAAGCTGGGATCCCCCACGGGCTCCTTACCCGTAGTAGCGGAAGGCATTAATGATCTTCCAGAAGTGCTCGCGCTCCAGCCTCTCCTCCTCCTCCTCCGTGCTGCGTGCGGCCGCCGCCGCCGCCGCCGCCGAATCGACCGCAACCGAGCCCAAACGCCCGGCGGAGAACTGCACTTCCACCTCCCCGCTCCCGCCTCCGCCACCGCAGCCTCCGCGGCCGCCACCGCCTCCCCCGCAGCCCTCGGGCAGCTGAGAGGCGGGCAGCGAAGGGCGCCGCCGTCGCTGCATCGCCGCCGCGGCCCTCAGCCTGACTCGTTTGCGTCTCGCCGCGACTGAAAGCGTGGTGGCGGCTGCTCGGCCTTCCTCAAGACAGCGCCCGCCACGGACACGCCCCCAGCTCGCGGCGCGCTCCGCCCCCGCCGCCCTTAGGCCTCCATCCGCGCTGGGCTCCGCCAGGTCTTCGCAGGGCCCAGAACGAGCGCGCAAGCGCATGAGAGGGTACGACTGTGGGCCACGGCCGCCTGCGCTCATTTGCTGCCTGCCTTCGGCGACTGCGAGCTAACGTCACGACGACGCGCACAGTGGGCGGGGCTAAGGGCCAGGTGGTGGGTGGGGGGAAGGAGGAGATCCCTGGTTGGGTAGGCTTGACACCTGTGAGCCGCCAGGTGGGTGGGGTTCAAGGGCCGGAAAGTGCTGGATTGTGAACGGGCCCCTGAACTAAGACTAAAGTACTAGCAATGGAGGAAAATGCAAAAAAAAAGTTCAATACCGATGAATTTATTCGGAATTTTTATTTTACGAAGTTTAGAAGGAAGGAAGGTTTTGCATTCCCTCTTAAGTCTTAATTCATTTCCAAACTTAATTTCTATTTTTAATTACGTAAGGGGAGAGGGCACCATTATCCTTTTAGAGTTTAGAGGACTGCGAAAATCCTAATCCAGCCCTACCTGGTGATAGCAACAGATGAGGAATGCAGGCACCTAACTCTACGCAGTACTGGATAGAGTACTGGATAGAGCAAAAGGGCACAGGAGCAGTAGTGTCTCAGCATGTGTGCAGCACTAGCATGTAAAGCTGGCTCTTATCAATGCCAGACTTAACCTCTTCCTTTTCTTCACCTACATTCACTTCTTGCACCATTTCTCCCTAAACTAATGGCTAAATGGCTGCCCTACCTGCATATAATGTAATCGTTAGGAAATAACTCATTCCATTCAACTTAATCTACCACTCAGCAAAGCAGTCTTTCAAAATAATGGTAAAAGGGAAAGATTATTTTATTCAGAAGTTTTAAACATGCCCAGAGACCACAAATTCTGTTAAAAAGATAATCATATTGACAATGAAATGGCTTCATCTTTTCATCGTTTCAATTAATCGAAATAAAGGTACTGTTAAAGCAAATTACTGTGGTTATTCTTTGTTAATGTACATTTTATACATGATTTTTATAACATTTTAAAGTTTATTTTTTGAACAGTAATACATTAATACATGGTTCAAAATTCAAAAGGGAAGTAAAAGGGTTAAAAATATAGTTTCTTCACCCCTGTCCCTAAGCACCCATGTCCCCTCTTTAGACACAAGATATCAATTCTTTGCTTATTCCTGCAGATTTTCTAACCAGTGCTTAATTTTCTTTGAGACTGGTGTTTGAAAGTTATATAAAATTCTCATAATATTAACTGTTAGCAAGAAACACTGTTTTCATGTACATAGAAGGAACTGAGAGAATTCACCACTGGAATCCTGGAGCCAGTGGGGAGAGCACAAAGGGCTTTTTCCCACCTTTAATGTGTTTGATACCCTAATACCCTAATTAAGTGTTTAATACCCTATTCTGAAACAGAGTTTCATTCCCTGCTTCTGTTATCTTCCTCAAAGTTTTGATAACTTTTATCTTTTTTTTTTTTTTTTTTCAGGTAAATGAGCTCCTTTCAACATTTCTTGTAATACAGGTCTTATGGTGGCAAATTCCCTCAGCTTTTGTCTGGAAATTCCTATATTTCTCCTTTTATCTAAAGGATAACAAAAATATGAAACATTTCACGAGTTTGTGTGTTACTTTTGCACAGTGGCCATGTAATCTCTGTATTGTTCCAATTTTAGCATATGTGTTGCCAAAGAAAGTGCTTTCTTCAAATACTTTAATTGCACTTCTTCAATTACTTCTTTTGAGTATCAATTAGCTGAATATCTGAATTTAAAATATAAAACTTGAAACTGGAATCATGTCTACTGAAGAGCCAGAATTTCACTATCTTTCTAAAATTTCCAGGGAAAAAATCAATGTTTTTTGGTAGGAAGTAATGTTTCCTTCCCACCCTTGATGTTTCCATCCATGAAAAAGGAGTTGGGTCAAGCAATACCCCTTGACTTTCTCTACTTTATTCACTCTGCCTGGAAAAGATGGGGTGGAGTGTCCCATTTGACTGGTACATTTGGGAAGAATAAACTGGGAATGCTTGACTCAGTTCCTGACCTTATTTC